ACCTCGTAGAATTAAAAATAACATAAAAAATTAAATACATTAATTAATAAGTTATATGAGATAAAAGTATATATTATAATTAATTTGTTGTATCAAATAAAGTAATTTGAATATATTTATCTAAAAAGCGGTTTTCTTTGGGGGAATGGATTGGTGAGGACTCGAGGAAGATTGCGTGGGAGGTTTGGAAGGTTGTATATACGTAGATGCAGGAGAGATATAGTGAGGGATAGAAGTGAAGAATTTGGAATTATTTAATTGTGCATTATTGGGGAAATTAGAGATGGAGAATTTTAAAGGAGGAATTGGGGCTTAGAAAAGGGTTTTGTTAGCAGAATAATGGAAAGGAATGTGAGGAGGGGTGTGACGAGTGTTGGAGTGCGAGAGGGCCAAATTGGTGGAAGGATTTGCTGAAGATCAATTATTCTTCTCCTTGGTTTATAAAAAAAAAAAAAAAAAAATTTATTCTTCTCTTTGGAAGTAGGGCTGGTTCAGTGAGAGAATAGAGAATACTCCCTTCATCTTATTACTACTTTTTTTTAATTTAAAATTTATTTAAAAGAATATTTTTGGAAGGCTTAACATATTTTTTTTTTCACATATCATCAAATATGAATTAATATGGATTCTTTCTGGGGCAAATCATGATTTTTTTTTTCTTGAACATGATAAAATTAGGGGAAAGAATACCTTATAATGCTTTGTATTTCATTGTATATTTATTTGTGTGTAGTTATTGCCATTATAAAAAATATAAAGCAACTAAAATTTTAATTTTTTAAATAGTGTTTGAAAATATTAATTTGTTAATTTATTTTACATATTAATTAATAAGTATTAATTATTTTATCAATTATTAATTAAGAGTTATAACTTCTAATTATTTTTATCAATCAAATTAAATAAAATTAATATTTTTAAAATAATATTTTACAATTTTAATGATCATAACGTTTTTATTGATAACTATAACATTTTTATTAGTGAGCATAATTATACCTATTTACTTATTTACGACGAAGACATGGATTCTTCGCCTTTCACTGGCAGACTTGATTAACCCAAAAGACTAGCAACATGTTTAAGTTCTTTGTTTTCGTTGGATTAGGCTTTTCAACAGTTCTTTAAGTTTGATTAATAACAATTAAAAACTTAAATAATTTAGTAGTATTGTCTTTGTGTTGAAAATAAAAGAATTTAAATTTGAGTTGTATAGTATATAAGTGAAGTAGTTTGAAGGATGAAAGAGAATTGTTTCTTATTATATAATATAAGATAAAAAATAATTAATAACAAATTAATGACAGTAAAAAAATAATGATAATTTAATTGTTATACTAAATGTAAATTTATATTAACAGTATTATAGACTTTTTAAAAAAAATCTTAATACATATATAGTAAATTTAATTAAAATATTTCTACTAATATAATACTTAAAATTAAATTTTCATTAAAACAAAATAGAGATATATTGTACAAGAAATTTTATAAAAAATTTTATTTTATTATTTAAATTATATTAAACTATAAAATTATAACTTTTAAATAAAAAAGTTTAATATCAAAAGAATCCTTTTTAATTTAAAAATTATTATTTTATAATTTAATATAAATTAAATTAAAAATATCTTTTCGTTTCCAAAAATTACTAAAAAAACAATTATGTTGGCAGAGAAGGGGCGTGGACGGAAAATCAAATTTTAAATTCCTTATTTATAAAAAAAATTTCAAATACATTAAAGTCAAACAAGTGATGTACAACTTATTAAAGGGTATTGTTATTGTCACAGCTTTACATGTTAATATCACAATTTTTTTAATTAATTAATCATTAATTCGTGTGAAAAAAGTGATGATTATTACAAGTTAGATTTAAATAAAAGATATAATAATTAAATAATTAAAAAATTTTGTGATGTTAACAAGAATGACTGTGACAATAACATCACCACTTGTTAAAATCGTATCATTTTTTTTTTGGTAGAAATTAAAATCGTATCATTACTGCAATTTATTTAGAACTTGAATAGGGTGTCCATTTCTTTTGGCTGTCTTTTATGTAGTGTTTGGTATATGTCTGACATTTTTTAATTTATCCCTACATCGATCAAAGTAACCAGTCAAAGGTAACCCTTTATAATTGAAAAGACTGCCTTGTCTACGTGGAGTGTTTGGTATATGTCTGACATTTTTTAATTTATCCTTATATCAAAGTACCCAGTCAAAGGCAACCCTCTAAAATTGAAAAGACTGCCCTGTTTCTGTTTATTTTTTTTTAACATTTGATCATGAGGTTGATTCGAATCGTAGCTTTTAAAAAGAGATATGAATCTCACAAAAATAATTAGTCACTTGACTTACAGAACTAGGTTCGCCTTGTTTCTGTTTATTCGTTAGCTGGGACTCCAAATTCCATCCAAATTTATTCAATGGTAACAAGTGCAGCAACAACAGGTTTTTTTTTTTAGGTCAATTGCACTACTTTGTAAACTTCTTCAAACTAGTCTGTCTAAATCTGTCAGCTCTCCCTACCCAAGGACAATTATCACGGTCGGTGACGGCTTTAACTTCAATTATACTTTTCTTTAGCACGTGAATCGTGCTGAAAACAAATGTAGTGTTTTCTTCTCTCCGTCTAAGCTAAATTGCTTTCTTTTGTCCTTGATTTTGGGCTCAAAGTATTAGCTGGTCCTCAACCTTCACTTTGTTAATTTTACAGTTCTAGACACTATTCTAGTAGTCATTAAGATTTCAAAGTTAGTGTAATTAGTGTTGTAAGTAAGTTAAATTATCTGACTTGAACTTGAGTTGGATTCAACTTTAATTGAAATCAAGTTTGAGTTGAAAACTCATAATGAAAAATTAACTAAAGTCAATTTCAAGTTGTAATTTAAATTCAAGTCGACTCAATTATATTAAAAACTAAATATATATGAAACATTGAAATTTTTAATTTTAATTTAATTTAAATCATATATTAAACTTGAGTACCAAATAAAACTTTAGTTAAAACTTCACTTTGATCCCTTTATTTTGAAAAAATTTTATTTTTAATCCATTTACTTAAAAAAATCCCTTTTTGATCATTAAAATTTGAAATTCAATCTCTTTTTAGTCACTCCATTAGGTTTTGCACATATGGTATATAGATGTTACAAATTTCAAAGTAGAATAACTAAAAATGAGTTTTTTCCTTTTTAGTCTTTCTATTTTGATAAAAAAAACTTTATTTTATCTTCTACTTTAAAAAAATCCTCTTTTAGTCTCTTTATTTTTGAGATTTTCGTTAAGATAGTGTGCTATAAAACAAAAACTTAATACAAGAGCTAAGAAAGAGCCAAATTTCAAATTTTAAGAATTAAAAAAAAGAAGAAGCTTTTTTTAACTAAAGAGACTAAAAAGATTTTTTTATTAAAATAAAAGATTAAATTAAATTTTTATCCTAAAACTTATAAATCAAGTTTAAATTCAAGTTATTTGAATTGAGTTAACTTATTATTATATGTAACATCAGCTCAAATATGAGTTTTTAAGAAACTTGACTCCTTATTTTATAACTTTAATTGCAATACTTATATGCTTGAAAATTTTGATTTAGTTTAGTTAGTAAATTATAAATTACTTACAAAACCAACATACACCCCAGTCTTTAATGCAGGTCAACGATACACAAAAAAATTAATATAATATCCACGTCAATAATAAATTCTATGCTTGAATGGCATAATACGAGGATATGATAAGTTAAAAAATTAAAAAAATTATATTTTATAATTTAATTTAAAAATT